GGAAGAAAAGAAAAGAAGAAATGGGGTCAAATTGAAAATTTTAAAATATATAAAATTCGAATTTGGCCCTAATGACCGGAAGTTAACCTAGAAACGGGCTAATGGCTCATTAGTGAAAGGATTGTGTAAGTTCAGAGATTTTTGTGAAAGGATTTGAAGTTCAGGTACCACTTCGAAATTCCAGCTAAAGTTCAGGTACCATTTGTGAAAATTTACCCCCCAAGTTGTACTTACAAGAGTTTAATGATTCACACTAGCAAAAAAATATAGTTACTTAAAAAAATTGTGTTAATATTTTTTGTCAAAGTAACTCATCATACCATCACATTAGCACAAAATATCGATGCATGCTTTTAGGGTACAAATTTTGGTATACAAATAACTTACTTCGTAATTCTTAATTTTAATATTTAAAACAATTGATTTCATACCTATTCTTCATTATGAGAATATTTTTAAACATAAGTGAGTATTATTGAAATTTTATTTTATAAGTGCCATGTTGTTGGAATCTAGTTCTTATTTTTTTGACAAACATTGGGTAATTGATTAATTAATATCACGATGCAAAGCATCACAAACAAAATTTGGAGGAAGAGACAACCACTCTAGAGAATCTTACATGACATCGGATGTCCGAGCTAACAAATGAACAACCTGATTCGCAGACCTTCTGACAATCGACAATGAAAGAGAATAAAACTCTTTCATAAGTGTTTTACAATCATAAATAATCTCTGTGAAGTACGAGGCATTCTCCCCTTTTGCGTGAAGAGCAAGAAACAACGTCCTATTGTCTATCTCGATAGTAATCTTTCGGTGCTTGAACTCTTCCTTTAACTAGCTTAGTGATTCTCGTACTCTCATAGGCTATGTAGTAAGTGCATCTCCTGCTATTTCGAGGCTTCAGTGAGCCCCTCGGACAAAACATCTTGAATGATCACGTAAGGCAATTCCCATTCGCACAATCCTTGTTTACTTTCTTGAAAAAATATATAGGGATGAAGAAATAAATAATGCAAAATTATAAATTTTTTTGAAATGATCTATGTAATTAATAAAGATGCCCAAGTGTCAATAGTTTTATAATAATTATTTTAGAAAAGTAATAAACTAAAATAAATGGTTTATAGTTTAAAAAAAATTAATGGAGTGTATAATTTTGGGGTGTTGTTATCTCCATTGTCATTTTGGCTATATTTACTCCATTAATGTTAAGTTGACAAATTTCACCTCAAAAATACAAAAGAGAGAATTTTGATGCAAAATCACTTGTAGAGTAAAATTATCCATTTAATATAAAAGGAGCTGATATAGGTCTCATTTGGCATCAACTTTAGAGAATAATGTTAGCGTTTTGAAAAAATTATCCGACAGTAGCCTTTAGCGTTTTCTAAATTAATCTATACCATTAAAATTTTATCTAAATCTCTAATGCTAATGTAAAATGCTTTTCCCAACCAAGGCCATAGTCAGATGGGGTGGACATAACACCACCTATATTTTTTGTTTTTAAAAGTTACTCCCTTCGTCTACACTAATAGATCTTTCCAGATACTATTCACATGATCAAAACTTAGCCTAATTTATTTGCTTACTTTAACTATACTCAATGCATTAAAAAAATATAGTCTTGTCACCTCGTATTTTGTCAATTTTTTAATGTATTTTTTTAATATATACATTTTTTGAAAAAAATTCTTACCTACAATCAAATAAATTAAACAAAAAATAAAATCATTTATATCTCGTAATACTGAGAAGATCAATGAGCGATAGATGAATATTAGGAATTAGGATATGTGGATTAACTAATTTATAAGCCCAATACATATAATTGTTAAATGATGCTTCTATGGTGTCAAGATCTACATTCAAAATGTGTACATTCTCATATTTTTTATGAGAGTAATGCTAGAGTCACAAACTACTGGGACACAAATTACACAAACTTGCTATTTGTGTACTTTTCCAATGGAATAAAGTGATATTAAATACTTACAAAATGAAAATTGAGATACATAAATAGTAAGTTTGTGTAGTTTGTGTTCAAATTGTTTGTGACTCTAGCATTATTCTTTTTATGAGCTTACATGTGGATATTTTGTTTAAAAAAACTCACTTCTTTTATGCTATGAATGCACTAAAGTCCATGAAATTAGCATGAACTTTAGGTCTACGGAAGAATTTGTCATAACTATTTACTAGAAATATAAAAATGATGAAAAATTTAAAAATTTACTTTGTATATAATTTGGTTTTTTAAAAAACAAAACAGTCTATATAGCCTCTTTCGAAATAATTATGTAGATTAAAACATATTTTAAAATAGTTAATTACAATAAAGAGAAGACCATTTAGGCATTATTGGTTTATTTTTAGAATCTGATCGAATTAGATCTGGTCTAATTTGAATAGGACACAACCTTGATTTATTTTTAGAATAAACGAGCCGAGCTAGGCCGGGTTGTTCTGTTGTTGAAAACAATATTTTAAACCGAATCTAACCCAACTTGTTTCAAACGATTCACTTTTGCGGGTTTGCAGGTCCATGAATTTTTTATTCATTAAGAATTTAAAATATATCACAAACAAATACAGAGTAATTAACGTATATGAGAATTTTCAATAGAATAACACACTTTTCAAACTAATCCATAATTTTATAAATGAAATAAAAATAAACTATAATACTCAACGAATAAAGGACTTTCACCAATTGAAACTGTCAAACGTATACGAGAAAATGCGACTAAAATTTTACTAATTATGTTATATACATAATTTATTGATAGAATATTGAATATACCATATATAACTTACTCCGTATTTATTAATACAATTCGATGAAAAGACTAAATTACAATATTGAGTATATGTTAATTTATTTAATACTTGTATATTTAGAATTTTATGAAATTATAAAGAACAGGCCAGTCCGAATCTAAATGTTTCTAAAAAGTAGAAACTGACTCGACTTGTTTTTGCTAAAGGACTCGCCTTGACCTGGCTTGTTTTTTAAAATAAAATTTTGGATCCAACCCTAACCCCACCCAACAGTGCAATTCGGTTCGGACCCGGACCCATTTGCACACCCCTACTCACCCCTATTTATTTGAATTCAATCGCGCAAGCGCAAAGAGTCTGTAACTTGTTGCCCAAGTCTCGCCGGAGTGTCGTCTTGCCGGAGCATCCACGCCGTCTTTGGGAAGAACACGACGCATAAATGAATTCTTCATCCATGCAGATCAACCAAACACCGGTCCACCACAGAGCCTGCCAGTTCAACATGTTCCGCCCATTCCTCGGTGCAGGTATAAGCGCTTCTTTCTCCAATCTCTTCCTCTCTCGTTTGTTTAATTCCATCATTGTTGATGGATTTCGATCGCTATACTCTTTCAGTGTACTCGATTGTATTTTTTAGGCTGTGTAGTAGTTATGTTTAATGCTTTTTTTTGGACAAATTTTCCATAATCCTTTTTGTATTTCGTGCTAAAACACTTACTTTTGATTTATTATGCCATGGATTGTTAGACAGTGAAGATAATGTGGTGGATTTGAGTAGTTCAGTTCAATTATAAGCTCATTGGTAGCGTGATATTTGAGAGCAATTTTAAATTTAAAGCTGATTAGTAAGTTCTGTAACAAATCTTTTTGCTGTTGTCTTTGGGCCAACAAATAATTTTCACATGGTTTTGACTCAAGCCAAAAGTTGTTGTTAGTGGCCTATTTTATTTTATTGTCTCATATTTGAGTTGTGTTTGATAGATTTTTGGATCTGGGAATGTCTATTGACTCTATTCAAGCTGTGTTATTTGAAGGAGTTCAATATAAGACTTGAATCCTTTTTCCAGCATTCTTCTTTGCTTGCCAAGTGTTTGATTAAATTCCTCTTAAGCATTCGTTGTCTTATTTTTGTTGATTCAACGTTCTATGTTTTAAATTTATACTCCCTCCGTCTTGATTTAATCTTCTCATTTGACTTTTCACGGTCTCCAATGTAACACTTTGACCATCAATATCAATATTAATACATAGATATATTTTATAAAAAGCTAATATTTCAAAACTATGTTTCGAAAGAAAACTAGTGATATACATTTATATTGAAACACAATGTAGTTTTTTCCGCAAATCAAGGTCAAAGTTCACCAAGAAAAGTCAAAGATTAAATCCGGACGTAGGGAAAAGTACATAATTTTTAATTAAAAATTTTGTAACATTTTTAAATAATTTGAACTAAATATAAATTCAATCAACCATCATAATCCGCATTGTGAATTTAGTTTTGGGATAGAGGGAGTATGTATCACACATTCTTGCATCCCTCACTTTTTTCATTGTATTATGCAATTGGAGCCTCGAAATTACATGGACTAGGTTCCGTTATGATCACTCATTTCTCCTAGTGTGCTACTCTCAGTTTTACTTCTTTTATTGTGTTATTACTCATGAATAATACTATACCTCCTACTCCCGAAATTAGCCTATCATCTCTTCAGTTTTCACAGTAATATTTTATTTTACCATGGATTGATATCATTACTAATAATCTTTAATCTTTTTAATTTTCCATGAAAATGTGTTCTCAGTAAGGTGTGACCCGTGCAAGTGGAAAAACTGTCAGAAGCAGGCAATAATGTGGAGGAAACACAATACGAGAAGTATGGTAACTTCTATTTCATCTTCATCTGGTTTTCAGAAGGAATTAAGTGTACCGCCTATTCACAAACACTATACAAGAAGTATTGGAACCTCTATATCATCTTCATCTGGTTTTGAGATGGATCCAAGTGTACCGTCTATTCAAGAGCTAGCTGATGCACGAGTGATCTACAGTGTAGCCAGTGCTATGGGTCATAACCAGGTAAATGTTTTCAACTATTTTTTTTCATATGAACGGACTGGTATAGGCATATAGCATGTTAAAAGAATGCATTTCAAACATCCATCTTTTTCAGTTCTGAATTCAGTTACTCTGTTTCTGTTTGGATCAATTGGTCTTGGCTTCATTAATATATAGTGTAACGTTTTTACTCTTCATTTCAAATTAGATTTAGGAAATATTTGTAAAATATCAATGTTATAGGGTCACCTTCGCTATGTACTCTTTGCAATTTATTCCTCCCTTTCCAACAGGAATCACATCCAGAGTCCCATCTAAGAGTTCCTGCAATTTTGAGTGCCCTCGAAAAGATGAAGCTCACTTCAAAGGTATTCAGAATCACATGCTATTATTATTATCATCATTATTTTGAGTTTATCTGATTTTCTTAGTAACATGGTTGTATTTAATTGTTATGCTAATTATTTTTGTGGTTATGAACTATACTCACTTGGTCTTCAACGTCTACTAAGACCGCTTACATTATTGTGCATTTTGAGATCACATGTTCAGAAGTGTGCTAGATTTTAGGTTTCAGATATATTCCTTGGCTAGCATCTGACATTAGACTATACTTTGCTTCCCCCTCCCCCCCTCCCTTTGACCCTTGCCATTTTTTCTTTCCGCTATTTTTTATATTGTGAGAGCAGGTTGCATCAACGCCAGAATCATATGATTTTGTTTCTTTTCTCTAAATATTTGACCACCAAGAAGTTCATAATTAGCCTAAAATTGATTAGCTGAATTACAACTGTTTTGGTGGCTGCACTTGTAGGAGCAATAATCTGATCAGGAAACTCGGGGCAAATAGATTTGAATACTTAGACAAAATGTCTGCAATAGATTTTTGATAACTGACATATTGCATATAAAATACCAGAAAAATGGAAAGATCAGGTTGTTGCAGGTGTAGGTCACTTTGCGTACACCTACTCAAAATGCCATTTTATACCAGAGCCTAGCAGAATCACGAAAGGACAACACCTATTTTGAATTGAGTTAATAATTTAATAAAATTTACCAGTTGTCATGGTTTTTTTTCTTTCGTCAAAAAACATGGACTAAAATAGTACTCCGTAACTGAAATCAAACTTCAATGGCTAAATAATACTATCATTCTTTTAATTGAGTTCTTTAATCATGGATGCAACATCTCTATTTTTGAGTAGGGGTAAGGTCTTCCCAGTTTGTGGGATTTTACTGGGTTTGTTGTTGTTGTCTTGTCTTTAATCACGAGTTCAAATCCTGGAAACAGCCTCTCATCTTGCATGGGTAAGGCTACATAGATCTGACACTCCTTAGATCCCATCTGGCTGGAGTACACTAGATGGCACTTTTTAGTTGACTTTTTGAAGTTAATAAATCTATTTTTGCTATCTACCTTGTGATATACTCTGAGTAATTTAACTGTGGTTATGATGCCATTGAACCTTTCTTATGATACGAAAGATAGCTCACATGCAAATAGAATTTTTCTCTCTTTATTTACAGAGTCATTATTGTTCATTACTTAATGTTCATGATCCTATTGATGTCTCCAAAACATCCCCATAAACCTTCTTCTGTGTTTTATTTGCTCCTTTTTTCTCCAATTCATTCACCCATTCCAACTTTAAACAGATTCAAACTCCAGCCCTAATAACAAGTTCTACTTTTTCCTCAAAAAAAGAAGTTCTAATTAATATTGTTTTTTATATTTCAGTTTCGCGGTACAGATATAGTTGAACTTAAAAATTTCAAGCCTGCCTCTTTGGATGATATTGCAAATGTTCATAGCAAAGCTTATGTTGCTGCTCTGGAGCAGGTATGGTATTATTATTGTGGTTATTTTATCTTCTCCTCTCGTGCATTCTAATTAGGAAGCTAAATATGCGAATTAGAAACAAAAGGAAAATGATTCGTGGTTATGTGGTAATGTGATTAGGTTCACTTATATTTTAATAGAGATTAGAATGTTGCAAATCCAACTAGAACTAAGTAAACTGTTTTAAGGAGAGAGATAATAGACTGAAATGATGTCTACTATTTCCTTTACTCTGTATTATAATTCTTGAAGAACAGAAATTGGTTTACGGTAGAGAAAGAAAGATAAGAAGAAAGAAAAGGATAATGATTGAGAAACTCAGCACCCAGGAAAGCCCGTACAAAAACACTTTGCTCTTGACAAACTCACAGAAAACAAAAGATGCACCATACACAACACAGTTCACTAGATATAGGATTCTTGCCGTATAAATAGACTGATTATGTTTTCTTTTAAAGAATACGTGGACTGAACATTTATAAAAATTCTGAAGGAGGCCATGGCTTCAACATGCACAGGGCTTCAGAGGCAAAGTATTGTCTGAGTTTATAATTTCACATATGTTTCTGATTTACAGACTATTGGTAAAGATGCTGAAAAGGGCATCATTTTCATTGATGAAACAAAACCAACATATGCTACTGCCAGTGTAAGTGTCATTTGTCAAGATGAATAAAATGCTACGCATATCTTTTCACTTAACATATACTCCCTAGTCTCAACAATGCTTTCTTTAGCTGATGGATATACTCCCTATAAAGCATCTTGGATTCTAATCTATCTTTTTCTTTTGCCAAAAACTTTAAATAAATGAAGGATTTTTTAATATAATATCTTCAATTAAGCTATAGTTCAGATTTTTATTTCTTCGTATTGTCCGATTTGATCACGATATCTGAATTATACATCTAAATTAGTTGATTGCCCAGTTTGCCCCTGTTGAATAGTTTGGATTCGGTACTTTAATATCCTGATGAAGGTATTAATGATGCAGACATTTAAGGATTCACTTTTGGCAGCTGGAGCAGCACTAGCCGTGGTTGATTCAGTGGTGACGTCTCAATCTGTCACTTGTTTATCTTTAATAAAAAATAACTTAATGATTGACGTCAAATAGATTTGAAGCTGATTGTCGATACATAGAAATAAGATGATAGACGAAGTCTAGTAATATAAAATTAATCATATTGTTTCTATCATATTTCAGGTTGCAGCATCAAAACTGAGCCCGAACCCTCCTGTTGGATTTGCTGTGATCAGACCTCCAGGGCATCATGCTATACCAACTGGTCCCATGGGTTTTTGTGTGTTTGGAAACGTAGCTGTTGCGGCACGCCATGCGCAGCTTGTGCATGGATTGAAACGAGTATTTATCATTGATTTTGATGTTCACCACGGGAATGGGACAAGTGATGCATTTTATGACGACCCAGACGTATTCTTCTTGTCCACTCACCAAGTAAGATATATTTGCCTAAAACCTCCTACATACATGGTTTTATAATTGTTCACATGTAGTTTGTAAATATATAATATTTAATTTTTAAATTCCACCCCAATTCTCAAATAAATTGAATTGAAAATAACTTTAGTCAAACGTCGTAAACCTAAACGGGCGATTTCATTTGGGACAGAGAGAGTAATATATTATGTTCATGCGGGTCATGTACTAATGGATCAATCATGTACTTATTTCGAAATTAGGATGGAAGTTTTCCAGGCACTGGCTAAATTCACGAGGTAGGTCGGGGAAACGGTGAGGGCGCAACACTAAATTTACCTTTGCCCGGAGGCTCAGGAGATAATGCCATGAGGAGTGTATTTGAGGAGGTTATTTTGCCCTGCGCTCAGAGGTTCAAGCCAGATATAATTCTTGTCTCTGCTGGGTAAGTAAAACTAAATAAATAGCTTCTTCTATTTGCAAAGCTTCTTCCTTCCAGGCTTTTCAATGCCTGTTATTTGCAAACCTATGTCCTACAATCACCCCAGTTCATGTGACATTGCCCTCCACTAACCCCTCACTCCGACCCGACCCGAACTCACCCCCTACCCTGTACCGACCCGAAATCAAATTTATTTGATTTTGGAGTCAAATTTTTTGAGTCCAAAGTCAANGGGGGGGGGGGGTTCGGGTCATGGCAGGGTGAGGGGGGTTTGCTGGGGGTTAGGAGGGGCAGGAATCGTCATTTTTACGAATGGGGCACCGCCCCCACTAACATATATAGGAAGCATTTTGTTGATGCATTTTTTCACCAAAACGCACCGCATTTATCGAATCTCAGGTACGACGGTCATGTCATTGACGAGATAGCCGGCCTGCAATTCACGACGGGGACGTATCACAGGCTGGCATCGGATATCAAACAGCTCGCCAGAGATCTGTGCGGGGGCCGATGCGTCTTTTTCTTGGAGGGGGGATACAACCTCGAATCTCTTTCCTATTCGGTGGCCGACACATTCAGAGCCTTTCTTGGAGAGAGAAGCTTGGGGAGCGAGTTGGACGACCCTGCCATTCTCGCACCCGAACCGTCTGCCAAGGTGAAGGAAGCAATTCAGAGGGTTAGAAGCATACATTCCTTCTGAATCATCATCATCTTCTTCATCAAAATTAGTTTAAGATCTTGTAAAGTAATGCAGAACAGCTAGTGGTGTAGTACTTTTTTTTTTTTGCAGAGAACCATAGCTTTTTAAGCCGAGCAATGCTACGTTCACAAACAGAATGGTCACAAACTTCACAAACTTACCATTTATGGTTTAAATTTTCATTTTAAAATTACTCTAGACCATTTAATTTTTTTTATTGAAGTTCACAAATAGTAAGTTTGTGAAATTTATGACCTTTTTGTTTGTGAATTTAGCATTTCTCTTTTAAGCCTGGTGTGATCTTACTTGTGACACCACTTTTCACACTAAAGACCAATACACATATCCTCCCTGACACCTTGGCACAATTGTCCGTGTTTGCTTTTGGTGTCGAAAATGGTGTCACAATTGGGGTTCCCCAGCTTTTTTCCTTTTTACGTCTGGATATTATAATTTTTTGGTAGTTCACTAAAAGGGTCGGTCATATTTTTAACTTTTGAATGGGTCATGTTTGTTTTGTCCATAAATTGCCTTTAGTTTGTTTCAAATGTGTGTAGAATTTATTATTATATTTTGTTTATAATTAAAAGGTGAGAATGCCAAAGTGCTTGTGGTAGAGTGACACCGTGGTGACTCTTCCAAATGAGAGGTCACATGTTTGTACCTTGGGTAACTCACATTCTAACAGAATTCTTAGTGATAAAAGAAGGTGCGAAAGATTATTCATTTTATTTAGCAGTTTCCATTACTTGTTTGATACAATGATGTAGTAATGCCATCTTCAATTTGTAGAATTTTTATACATGCAATGTTTTTAAATTTCACTCTATTTTTCAAATAAATTGAAGTAAACATACTTTTAGTTAAAAATCGTGAACCAATAGTTTAATTTGAGACGGAGGACGGAGAGTATATTAAAAGTTTATGAGAACTTATTTCTTATATTCAAGCTAAAAATGAGCTCGAGTCTAGTGAACTTTGGGTAAAACTGGGTCCAAGAGCTTTCTCCCATGGCTTTTTTGATTGGCTTCTAGAATAATCTCCCGCAAATTATTGGGTATTTGTCTCGACTTTTCTCAATTTTGCTTCGATATGACAAACAATAGTATTTTACGCAAATAAGACTTAATTCATGTGTGAGACCAAGACATTGTTAAAAAGACTATGTTATCCTAGCTAAAAATCAACATTAGTGCACAATTACAAAGATATTATTCACATGATCAAACTTGACAATTTTCACCTCAAAAATACAAAAGAGAGAATTTTGATGCAAAACCACTTTTAGAGTGAAATTATCCATTTAATATAAAAGGAGTTGATATAGCCACATGGGGTGGATATAATAACACCACCTAATCTTTATTTTTTAATATTACTCCATTTTTTCATTTAAAATGATTTGAAAATAACTTAAGTCAAAGATCATAAACCGAAACATTCGATTTAAATTTGGACGGAGAGAGTAAAAAAGTAGAAAGAGTTGAAGTAGAATAAAAAATATGGAATGCACGATAAAAGGACTGATGGGTCCTTTTTTTGTAAAAATTCAAAAAAAAAAAATCCTATTTGAATAAATGTTCAACGTTTTAGTCCCATTTGAGAAGGTATTCTTCCGTAGTTTGAAGATCCACATGTGAAGTGTAGACATTCTCATTCTTTTTATGAACTAGTAAGTGAATCTTTTTTTCTTTGTAAAAGACCAAATTCTTTTATAATATCAATACAGAAGTGCATAAAATGAGTGTTAACCTTATGATCACAAAAGAATTTATTTTATTTGAGATAATTTTATCATAAAACAATCATACCAAACTGTTTCCGCACCCCATGTGAGAGATAGGATTACAAAGATAGAGAAATACAAATGGCACCATTGGAAGAAATTATTGTAGCAGCGATGTATAAAAGAGGGTCCAACGGACCGTAACCCATGTACAAATGGCACCATTGGAAACAATATTTTCGATTAGTGTTAATGTTTTTGATAAAACTTTAATTTTGTAGATTAATGGAAGAAAACTCTAACATTAACACTAAAAGCTATCTTTAGATAGAGTCCGTTTGACATCAGCTTTAGATGTAAGCATTAGCGTTTTGAAAAGACTATCTGACATTAGTCTTTAGCACTAGCATTTTTAGAATTAATCCACACCACTAACATTTTATTCAAAATGCTAACAAAAAACATTGTTCCCAAACATTATCATAGTCTTTTCAAAGCTCTAATGCCAAACTCTAATGTTGTTGTCAAGCGAGACCTAAAACTTTTTTTTCAAATACTATTCACACGATTAAACTTTAATCATTTTCTTTACCTATTTTCAATAGTTATTTGATAATAAAATAATATAATCATGACACATCATGTTTTATAGTAGAACTTTTGATGTTATTTTTAAATATATAATTTTTATCTTCAAATTTTATGCCTATAATCAAACAAATTTGAAAAAAACTTCAATCAAATTTTGTAAGCCAAAAAAAAAAAATCAAATTATCAACGAATCGAGGGATGGATGGGTTGTGAAACATACGAAGAGTGAATGAATGAGAGTAAAAAAGCAGAATTTGGCATATTTAATTGGGCAAAAATACTGTTTTTTTTTGGAAAAAGAAAAGCAGAATTTCATTATTTCCACTCCAATTTTATTGTGCATTCGATCAATCATTTAAAAATATAAACTAAATTTTGTTCAGAAAATAAAAGACACAATGTCAACCATAAAAGAAACACTGTAAAAAGTCACTGTATATTCAAGTAAAGTTGGACCTGAGTGTATGTACTTATTATTACTCATCTCCTTAATTACATGCTGCACTAAGGCATGCATAATCCCCCATTACTCCTTAGAAGCCCTAATTAAGGACCAGTGCACCTAATTAAGGTTTTCAAAAACATTGTTTGTAAGTAATTAAAACTCACCAAAGGAGGAAATGAAAAGATATTAATAATATGACCAGCTATATATATATATATTAGCTTACACTTAAAACTGGAAGGTTCCAGATGGATGCTCACAAGATCAAAAGTCACTTCTTACGGGAAAACGCAGCCACGATCCCTCCCGCCAAAAGCCCAACCGCAGTTGCAGCAATGCCGATACCAATCACTCCGTCTATTGTCAAAACGCACGCAGAACGAAATGAGGAAAGTGTGGGATTAAACAGGAAAGGAAACATTGGGATTTCGATAGACTACTCACTACCTTTCGTGATTTTGTCTTCGATTGTCTTCCTCAAGGTCAATGCCTGCCTCCAATCCGGTGCAATCTACAAGCAGAAACAAACTAATTACGGATTTCACAAGGGAAAAAAGACTAAAGTAGGAGTAAAACATTGAAAATATACCGAAATAGGGGTTTCATGTTTTTATTCCCGAAATAGGAGTTAAAATTACATATACACTGTCAATCATGGCCATGTATATTACCAAAAAGCATTGTGAAATGTCCATATACACTGCCACATTACCACAGTGCAAACTCTTATTTTAAAGATAAAAACATTGAGCTCCTATTTTGGTACTTTCGGTATGTTTTACTCCTATTTAGAACGATTTCTTGTTTCAACAATTACTCCATCCGCCTGAATTTACTTGTCCACTTTCTTTGTTTTTGTTTGTACGGAATCAAAATGACACTTTCGTGTTCAATGGGAAAAAAATATATGATGGAATGTCTAAAATACTCCTACCAAAGGATATGAGCATGGTTGGCATGAAGAAGGAACAAACACAATTGGAGGGGTTATTTGACATTTTAAACTCATTTTTAAAAGATGAGATTTTTAAGAAAGTGGACAACTAAATGTGGACATTGGGAGTATAATATTTTTTTGCTTTTTATATAGAGAAACTAGCACTTTCATAATAAGAGAAAAACTTCAAATTCAAAACTGAACCCTCATCAATCAGTTTTTGTAGTGATTCTTCTTATCCACATGCCTCCCTTCACTTGCTTGAACTTGTAATAACCACTCACGAGGATTATTTTGGGAGCCAAGCTTGACCCAAGAATTAGGGTTATGATGAGATAACTCATAGTTGACACTATTTAGAATTGACCGAGCACAGTTGGGACTTTTTCCATAAACTTTTCCCTTTACTTAACTATATAAGTCTACTTGAAAAAAAATTAAGTTTAAGATGATAATTCATGAAGTTTTTTTACTCATATAGTGCCAATACTTCGAGGTCATGTATAATTGATCCATAAGCTTTAATGTGCTTTTCTAATTTGAACCAATACCTTGATATATTAATGAAATAGTATAATAATAAAATTACATTGCATGTTAATACAAAAATGATTTTATGAGGTTTATCTTCCAAAATCTTTCAAAAAAAATGTTTCATTGTATCGTACCCAATACAACACATTGTATGGCAGCCCATCACTAAAAAAACTGCAGTAGACATTATTTTACTAGTATAATAAGCAATGTAATAATATAGCCTTCATATTTCATGCTTCAATATAGATTATAGACATTAACATAACTAAATGATTCGGATTTCGGACTTATCGAGTAATACTTGACAAGGAACTTTTAGTCAAAATTTTGAAATAAAAATATAAAATATACCTCCAAACAACGATCTACAATATGCCTGCTTTTAGAAAAATTCCCGTCTCTGTAGTACCCCACAGCCAGAAGGTATAGCTTTTCCCTCTCTTGCAGTGGAGTGCTACTTACACCCAAAGAAGCTGCAGGAGATGATATAAAATTACGTCTAAAAGGAGATATGAAAAAAGAAACAATAATAGCTTGATCGACCCTTCGTAGAAAACAATTGAATACAACAGTAATGGATATATAATTAACTGCTCATTTCATTGTGTTTACCTTGATGTTTTTTTTGGACAAGGAAAGAAATGAAGGAAAGAACTATGAGAGAAATTATAATGAGAAGAGAACGGATGAATTTTTAGCAATTCTAGGTTGAGAGAATTATGACAAAAGTGAAAGGGAGGGAGAAAAAGAGATGAATTTTATCAAAAAAGACAAGTTTATCATTATTTTATAAAGATATTCTAAGGGAGAGGAAACATGGTAACTGCTCCAAAGTTTCTCTTTTGAGTTTCTCTTTTTGCGGGATCCACATCAACCATATCTTTCCTCAATTCTCCTTCCAACCAAACAACACCAAAATTTATTTTCTCACTAAATCCTTTCCACTTGATTTTTTTTAAAGAAACACAACCAGTTCGGTGGAAAACCAACAACGAGACTAAAATAGAATTGCTTGAGAAGGAGATTAGTAGTAGCACCTAGTAAAATGAAATTCAATATGTGAACTAAATTAAATTGTCGACAAGGAGGGATAGCTATTCGATCTCCCCTCTGATGACTTACCTTCTAGCATTCCTATGCCACGCTGGCGATCTTCCTGGCGCTTTGAGTGAACAAGAGCCCAAGATAAGCGCATAATGCATTCATTTTTGATAGTTTCAGAAGCACCTTTTTCAGCCTCTGCTACTTCGCGCTCACATCCCTGAAAATGCACTACAGTTTGTGTGGGGGAGAACTTGAAAATGGCTAACTAGAGGTTTTGTGCACATGTTACAATCAAAATTGATATTGTAAAAGAGGACAATGCTGGAGAGAGTATTTGGGACTGGGAAATAATAGGATAATGCTGGAGAGAGTAAAAATCAGAAGAAAAAAATAAAGAGCTAAGAAGAGAAATTTGTAAACAGGCCAAATATGCTTCTTTTCTTTGTGTTTCTATGTTTTCACATAGAGTCATAAGTTAAACGACATACAATAGAAGTGATCAAACAACATTCCTTTAAAGTCAAGCTCTTTCCCATAGTTGCATCCCCTAAAACTAATGTATAAACATTTTAGGATATGACTCGAGTCAATAACCAAAGATGTTGAACAATTGGCGCATGCAGCTATAATTCCAAAGAAGTAAATAAATAAAACTCGTGCAGATAGACCAATAAAAAACCGCCCCTAAACAACAACAAACCCGGTATAATCCAAACTTTGCTGGCATNCAGTCTTACACATGTAAACAAACAGAGAGAACCTAAACAACGTAGATACACAACTAATTCTTTTAAAATAACTAACTAGATAAATAATAAGGCAATAATAGTAATATGAGCATTTAAAAGTGAATTAAATGTACACCAACCATACTGAGTATCATGTTATGGTAAGTAGCAAAACATTTGAAATTTTTAAGAAAAAAAATCATCATTAAAAAATTGAACCAACACCCCAAGGTGGGAACCAACAAACAAGAATCAAGCACTGGAAACAACAACATTACCCCAGTGCCTCAATGGCTCCCGCCCATTGTGGGGTAAGGAGGGGTCGGATGTACACAGTCTGACCCCTATGTTTAAAACATAGAGCGGCTTTTCCAAATGACCCATGATGGGCGTCAAAAGTTGCATTGACTAACTGCTACTTCACAATTGCAAGAAGCGTAGACAGTTTAAAGAACCAATTTGCTTTATTCCATCATACCCTAAAGCCAAAAAATAGTGAATCTTTGGCTCCATAAGGGAATGGAAATAAGAATCAAGAATCAACCATTGGCAATTTTCAAAAATGGAAAAGGGTTTAAACTCCGGAATTGATTTTCAAACCTGCAGGCAATATTAATGGGAAGTGGGAACTGTAGATCACATTATCCCAAGGTGACAAATCTGTCTACCAACGAAAGAAACTAAAACAATTCCGGTGCGCGAAAAATGCACAAATTAAACCCTATTGCCAAGACAGAAAACTATGTGGGACATTCAAAGCACAAAATTCATAGCAACACCTAAGTTTGAAAGTTGAAAAATACTGTGTTAAATTTCGAATGAACTCAAATACGTGAATGTTAGAGTTACTGATCACGAAAACTCAAGCAAAATGATGTGAAACCTTCAGCTGTTACTGAACATCACAGATACATCGGTTATTCAGGGTTAGTGTTGTATGCAAGACAAGCTGCCCAATTTCTAAAACCCTAATCCTGCGAATCTCATTTCTAAGGACATCTAAACCCTAGACAGGACATACAACTCAACTTGCTCATACAAGCAAACATAGACGGAGAGGATACTTACGGTGACGATATCGGAATCGCACCATGGAATCTGATCGCCGCCGGAGAAGATATTGCCGACCGAATCAAATAGGTTTCTGATCGTTGCTTCCATTGTAGAGAGATGGTAGTATTACGAGAGTTTCAGATAGTATTTGTGAGAAAAAAAAAGTAAAAGCAATTTATATTCCATTCAATTTAATACGCAATTTTCCCTAAAAAATGTGAAATTGAAAAAGTAAAATTTGCAGTGAATATGACTAAAACATAAGTCATGTAAGACTTACTTTTTTTATTCCCTAAATAGGATTTAATAATGTCTAATGAGAAGAATAATGTCCAGGTGATGCTGGACATTTAGTTGAATAATGACTAATATATAATGACCAATGGTCCTACATTGGGAAATAAAAACATATGATCCTATATTGAGAAATTCATTATGTTTTAGTCCTATTTAGATAAATTACCCATTGAAAAAAATTAGTACCAAAATAGGTAAGTCGTATGTTATGGTGGCATGAGGAGGGCTTGACCGTCCTCCTTCATTGACCCACTCATTCACCGCGACGGACTTCCGTGAGGAGGGCGTGGCCCCTTCCTCCGTGACGGCCATTCAGCCGTTGTCCCAATTATTTTTTTTTAATTTCAACCAATCAAAATTTAACACACATTTATACCTCGTAACATTAATTCACACTCACCATAACATATATTTTTCATCACTCCACATCATACATCTTTACACTCGTCAAGCTCCCCATAACACATGGCCTGATATTCAAAAGTTGCTTTTTTGGTCTCTTTATAGTGTTTTATAATTAAATGAATACATAGATCAAGAAAATAAAGTTTTGTGATTGAAAGTGGTGTAAGAGAAAGAGAGAAATGATAAAAGAAATATGGAATACTATTACAGGACGAAGGATATACATTATTACAATTTAAATTACAATATCAAGTAATACTCGAGTAAATGACTTGAGTATTTTTTTTCTTAAACTACATACATTTTGTTTTTATAAAATGGCAAATAACTTGAATATTTTACTTTGATAAATATTTAATGAACTTACAGGAAAAGTGATATGATATGATTTTGTGAATAGTTTTAGAAAGGAACTTAAAATGTCCATAAAAAAAGCAAGAAAAAAAATAAACATTAGCATAACTATATCAAAATCTTTGTCTAAGATTTGAAGAGTAGTTTAGTCTGGATGACATTAGCGTAAGCATGAGAGAACCAACAGGGGACAGACAACATAAATTTTGTAAACATGGGAGGTAACGATGTACATTATCAAACTTATTATACTCTATTTTGGATTCTACGTTTAAAATAAATGCTTTTCAAATGCAGTTCGATTATTTTGGCACCAAGGCCTAGTATATATGACAATAGTATAATTTGAAAGACTTACGGTGCAACTCGGGTGCAACAGGGCGAAGGTCCGTTGGGGTAGGGCTGAGGTGGACGGGTTTAGAAGGCATTATGAGTAGAAATAGCTTTTGAATCGAACGAAGCACCGTAAAGGCTTCAAATTGGGCTAGTGACGTATTATGGCACTAGCCCTTTGTGTCAAAATAACAAGGTTTTTCAAAAAAAAAAATAAAATAAAAAAACAATCACAAACACTACAAATCAGTAAGTATTTCATGTGCGTCAATATGACTGTTTATTCTGTTCAGAAACTCATACACCATTTCCACTGCGGGAAATGATTGGTCATCAGCAAAGAATGTGTGTATTCTCTTGTCAACCTCAATCCAGCTACAACCAGGGTTTTTCCTCAACCCAAGCTCTCTCATCTTCATTCTTATGTCCAACACTTCGCCCCATTGTTTCCTACTTGCAAACATGTTTGCCATAACCACACAAGTTGAGGGATCATCACAGCCTTTCTGTATAAGAAGTTCTGCAACTTCCTCCCCAATGCCTTCTTCTTCTTCTTCCCTATGCATGTGGCAAGCAGAAAACAATGTGCTTAGCATCGAAACATCCTCTCTCATGGAAGGTGATCTCTGGAGAATTCCGTACGCTTCTTTCAATCTTCCGGAACGTCCTAGAAGATCCAGGAGACAAGAATAGTCTTCAATCTCGGGTTTGAGTCCATGACTATTTACCATTAGGTTAAAATAGTGGCAACCCTCGTCAACTAATCCCGCGTGGCTGCAAGCTGAAACCACTGCAAGGAATGTGACTTTGTCCGGTTTAACATCAGGCTGTTGGAGCATTTCATTGAAGAGGCATAAAGCTTCAACAGCTCGGCCGTGGGACCCATAAGCCACGATCATAGAGGTCCACGATACAATGTCTCTCTGAGGAAGATGGTGGAACACTTCAAGAGCTTCATTCACGGCGCCACACTTTGCATACATATCAAGGAGTGCTCCCATGACTATTTCACTTGAGTCCAACTTTTGTTCAACAATGCTCTTGTGAACTTCTCTCCCTTTCTCTAGTGCAGCTAATTGTGAACAAGCCACCAATACACTAGTGAAAGTAATCGCGTCCGGTTTTATGGGTCCCGCCGACTTCATGTCACTGTAGATGCCAAGGGCCTCCAAGTAATTTCCAGACGATACGAACCCGGAGATCATTGTGTTCCATGGGGTTACATCCCCTTTTGGGGTTGTGCTGAAGACTTGTTTGGCAGCCTCGACGCTTCCACATTTGAGGTATAGATCGATTAGTGTGCATTGAAGAAATGCGTCGGTGTCTATTCTGTGTCGGATGATGTAAGCGTGAACAAATTTCCCGTGACACAGCTGGGCTGATCTGGAACAAGCCGATAGCAAGCTGCTCAAGGTTGTCAAAGAAGGTTTCATATCTTCGCCATTCATCCTCTGCAGAAGGCAACAACAAGATTCACTGTCCCCTTTCAAACTGTAACCCGAAATCAAGGCATTCCAAGAAACCAAAGTCTTGTTTGGGATTCGCGTGAACACTTCCTCTGCCTTCTCCATATGACCACATTTCCCATACATGTCAACAAGAGCAGAGGCAACGAACCCGTCAAGGGCAAACCCGTCATTAGCCAGGTCCTCGTAGATCTTCTCCCCCCTATCCAAATCAAGAAGCCTAGCACAAGAAGATACGGCAGCCGTGTACGACACGGAATTCGGCCTGTACCCAGACTCCTTCATCTTCTCAAACAGCTCCAAAGCCTTGTCCCATTCCCCAGCCTGGTAATACGATGAAATAAGAGTGTTCCAGCAAGCCACATCTCTCAGGGGAATTTCATCGAACACCTCAGTGGCAGCTCCAAAGTCTCCCCCTTTGGCATACATTCCCACCACAGAGCTCGCCACAACAACATCAGACAAAAACCCAGTCTTGATCACGCGGCCGTGGACACTCCTTCCGTACACCGCGCCGCCGCATCCCAGACCGCCACACGCCTTGAGAACACTGGGATAAGTGTACCCATCAGGCTTGAGATAAGGGGATAAGAGTAATAACCTGCGAAAAATCTCAAGAGCTTCGGTGAAGACGGATTGACCCGTGTAAGCCGCCATGAGCCCGTTCCATAGAGTGATATCAAGAGGGTTCTTCAGATTCAGGAAAACCAGCTTCGCGGATCGGAAATCTTGGGAAGAACAGTACAGATCCATGAGGCCCTTTGATAATGGGATGCTGCTCTGCAAGCCCATGGTGATGGCTTTCTGGTGCAGAATCTTGATTCCGTGTTTCTGTAATGGCGTCCTCGAACTCCATCTCGATGCTGTGAGTGATTTCAACAGAGCGAAAATCCCCTGAGGATTCATATACTTGTACACAATACATGCCTTTCCATGAATCTTAAGAAAAGCTTACGAAAATGTGTTTTAAAACCTCTTTAATTTTCAATTTAAACACAGAAATAATACTTAATTCTCTCAAATTACTTTCAAAATTGAGGCTTATTACTGTTATATAATTATGTCATTTCTAGTTTTATAAATTTTTTATGTAATTTTTTAATATATAATTTTTAATTTTTAATTTTACATCTATAATCAAATAAATTGAATAAAAAATAACGTTGATCAAACATCGTAATGTAGACCAGAAATATTCAAATGGGACGGAGGGAGTAAAAAAAGATAATGCAAGAAGAAAGTTGGTCACATGCATTTATAATGGATAATGAAAAAAACATAAATTAATGGTAAAATTAATGTAAATACCAACTATGCAATGCTAATATGAATTGAAGCTTTGTTTGTAAAACTGAAGATAAAATAAATTTCCAATTTTACGAAAATTTTTATATATTTCTATTTTTTCATGACCTACATTATAAAATAAAATATTTTTGTCACCATTTATTTTGTTAAACTTTTAACCTATTTTTTTAATATCTAAATTTTATTTTTTATTTCTCTACCAATATTAAATAAAAAAATTGAAATTTTATTTTATTTTGTGCAATGAGGAAAAAAAAATATAGGAGGGAGGAAGAAACTCAGAGAACTAACGATGCAATTTAGCTTGAATTCTTATATGCATATGTGCAAACAGACAAACTTTCTCACATAAATAAATATTACAAGTGAACACATTCAAACAACCATTCCAGCTTCTGCAATATTACTAGGAATCCCCACATCCAACCTCATAGTGGGCTTGTACTGTTCAGGCACGGCGGCCCCCGCCTGTATGCAGATCTCCACCACCGCCGGAGCCTGGCCGTAGAAGTTCCTCAGCTCCCGCTGCAACTCCTTGTTCGCGTCCGGGACGTGCCAAACGTACCTCGGCGGGATCAAGTCGTCCAGCACCGCGGTCTGCCACCCGTGCTGCCCGTTGCGCTGGTGGTGCTTGTGGGCCCCGCAGACCTGCGCCTTGTGCCCGCTGGGACCCACGTGCACCTCCGGGCAGTACCCGCAAACCCTCACCGGATACACCCTCATCAGCCTCTTGGCTCCTCCTCTCATGGTTTCCCAAGCCCGGAGCGTCTCTTCGGCCAGAAGAAACGCTTCCTCTTTCCCCGACGGAGGTGACACCTCAGCATCAGGAACCTCGGCGAGTATCCGTGGTCTTGGAGGTTCCTGAGTGGGGCCCGGTAAATCTGATTCATCCGCGTCGCTAAACTCGCTCCTTCCGGTGCGGATTATCGGTTTTCTCCTCCTCTTGGTGGGGTATTCTGGTAAATCCACACCGGCTTGGATGCAGAGCTCCACCACCGATGGGATCATAGGGATGGAAAACCTCTCCTCGTGAGAAATCCGCTTTCCCAAACGGTCATATAAATGGTAAGATTCCAGTTGCACCATAACATCCTCAACTACACCCTCTCCCCACTCGTGAAGCCCATTTCGAGCCGAAGACTGTGGGCCCCTGCACGACTTGAAAGGATGCCCGGCGGGCCCAACATGAATGTCGTTACACCACCTGCAAGGATATACACGTTACGAAAGTCAAATAAAGCACGAGTCTTGGGGGCATCTGAGCATCTAGGGAGATGAAAAAATGACAAGAAATTTTATTTTCTCATGTTTTTGACATTACAATGCAAAATACAAAGGAAAATAAAATATAATTGAGACTCAGAGAATGCATTTCCGAAACGCTGAAACCCATATTAAGGTTATGTTCTCCTCAACTTATTCTTATTATTTATTCAGACCAGATCAGGTGAAGAGAACATGGCTTAAGCTCAAAGAGATTAGATAGAAAATTTACTTGCAAGCATGAAGAGGCACCACCTTCAAGAGCCGCTTGAGATTGTTTATCAACGTTATTCGTGCATTCATCACCTTATATGCATCTGGAATCAGTTCTTTAACAACCAACCCCTCTCTTGGTGGAGGCAAACGTCTCTTGGGTAGGCTTGACTTGTTTTTCAGTCTCTCTCTGGCAGCTCTCCTTAGCTCTAAAATTGGTACGGGAAACGGCTTCTTTTGTTTTCTTGAATAATAACGCGGAAAATCTGCGTTTTGTGGATTATGATTAACACATCTGATGCTCTGGAGCTGATGCAAATTCCTTAATCGCCGTGGCAACTTCAGTACCAATAAACTACTACTTCCCTGAAATTACCTAATAGCCATTAGCAAAATGGGCTAAAACAAGTCTGTGCCCTTTAGTCCATGCAATGTGCCCTCCAATACACCTTTTTAACTTAGTCAAGGTATAAAGGTTATTAGTCACCGATCATACTCATTTGTTAGAAAATGTATTAGTTGGTTTAACTAAACTTATCTTTTGAAAAACAACATGAAAAAAACTTCTTTTGGGCAAAAAGGATTCTTTTCATATTTAAACAAAAAAGATTTTGAAACCAGACTATATGGGACACAATGAGTATCATCACGGATTGGATATTATATACCAACACATGTTTAGCAGCAGAAAATCAAGATGGCAATTTGGATTTGTTTTCCACTATTAGCAAGAGCGTATATGTGTTCATATGGTTTTTGTGTTACTTTATCTGTGCCTTTTTGTTGAGCCGGGGGTCTCTTAGAAACCACATCTCACTTCCAAGTAGTAGTAAGGTCTGTGTACACACATACACACCCTCCCTAGACCCTACTGTCGGGTGGGATTGTGATTCCTCATTTGTTATAGGACTATTAGGATTCAAGAAAACTCCGATATGGCTAACAAAATGCATGAATATACTTTTCCTTCTTCCTCTCTTAACCTTATAGCTCCTAAGGTTGGCCGTACTCAAATGGGAATATCGAAATGCATTTATTTCAGCAATGAGCATATACAAGGTCAAATGTAGTACTTAATAGGGAAGGCTAAAGTTCACAAACCTCCATAGAATTGAGTGAGCCAAGACCATGTTTGGGATTGCATCCAAACTTCAAAGGTTGTATAGTAAGAAGCTGAAAATGCAGGTGGCTGCAATTCATTTCTGGAAAAAAATATATATATAAATAAATAATTGTAATAGGTTAAATATTAAAGTAATCATACTTATCTAACTTGTTTCCATTATCTATAAATGCAAAGCACTGACAAAATCATTTTTTCAAAAGAAGCAAAATGAATAGGTGAAACAATAGATCGATAAGAATATAAGATTTTACTAAACAATAGGGGAAAGGAAGTTCAAATAGACAAAGAATTTAACTATATAAACATGAATTTTTAGGGTTCTAGATAGTTAACCTAATACTGGAATTTCGATGATTTGAATTTGATTCGAACTATCAAATCTAAAAATTGAAATCGAGACAGATTTGTATAAGAAATGCGAAATTCCATTGAAGTTTCACCTGTCAGGCGCCGGCGCAAATCCGCGGTCCGCACGGTGGAGCAGCGGCAGCTCCGTCTTCCCGAAGCCAATAAAGTGTTTGCCGCCGGTTCCATTTGGATTCCGGTTCTAAGAAAGGAATTTAAGAACCGCCTTGGACCAAACAAATTGAGATCCGGTTCTAGAGACAATTTCGGTTTCAATCTACAAATCTTTATGAAAAAAATAAGTATGCTCACTCCCTCTCAATTTAATTTTTTTGATTGACTTCTGCGAAAAGAAAAACAAGAAAATTATTTTTGGACATATAAAGTACGGAGTAATTAATTATAAAAATGTAATTGAATAACAAATATTAGATTAAACAAAAAATATATTGCATGTATTTTTTCTCACAAAAATTATAAATACAATTGAATAAAAAACTTAAAACTGAGTAAAAAATTATAACCAAAACAGTGGGTGGCTATTCCGGTCAATAAATAGCAAGTACTTCTTTCGTTCTATAATTCATTTCTCATTGTGACTTTTCATTGTCTTCAATGCAATGTTTCGATCATTAATGTTTTTATTTATATATAATCATATATCGGAGTATTATAAAAATAAAATTTTTAAAAACTATGTTTCAAAATAACTATTAATATAAAATTTGTATGAAAATTCAATGTGTTTTTTGTACAGTCTACGGGTAAAGTTTAAAAAGCTTGATCACAAAAGTCAAAATGAAAAGTTAATCTAAGACTAAAGGAGTATCATTCTTGGTCTCATTTGTCATTTTCTAATTATAAAATCCATTTCAACACGGTTATGAAGTTGTGAAGTTGTCAATTCTGATATATGGCTCAAAACAAGAGGTGTGTTCACCCCTGTAAAAAATTCTCAACATTATTTATTTATTGTTTTAAAATCACATTTATGACATATTTTATTTACTAAAAATTACTTTAATTGTTTATTTTATCGTAACAATATATCTGATTTAAAATATTTTTACGTTAAAAAATAGTACTCACTTTGTTCCAATTTAAATCACCTACTGCAGTTAATAATGTTTGACTCTCAATTAAATTTATTTGGAATTTTGTGTAAAATTAAAAAATAAGATTTATATAAGATTTATTTTGACCTTCTAAAAACTATTTCATTGACTTTGACATTTAAATTTAGTACATTTTTAATAAAACGGGATAAATTAATCATGTACGAAGTGTTTAATAATTTAAAATATGAATAAATAACCCAAATGAAATGTAGAGACTAACAATTTATAAATTTAATTTTAAAGGAAAAAAAATTACTTGAGGACTATTTGAAAAAAATGATTTCAAATAATAAATTTACAAGAATAATTTGCTTAAATAATATTTTAGATGAACCCAAAGTAAAATTACTAATTTTACAGGGATAAAAAACATCTTTAACGAATACAATGTGAAATACAGGGTATATATTTATTTTTAAATAAAGATATTGATGATAAAAATTGTTACGCCCAAGAGTGAAACGGAGGATCAAATTGTTGCATTAAAAAGAAGAAGAAGAACCTGTCTCCGAGGGTACATCTGAACCGTCTAGACGGTCACTTGAGATGAAATGAAGTAAATTGAGCTTTTTATTTATAATTTGATAGAAAAAGTAAAGTATGTATCGGGTACTTGTATAAGTCGTATGTCTAATATTTTTTTGAATGTTATTGACTCTATTACAAGGTAGTATCTGTTCATACTATTCCCAACCTTATAACGCACAAAGAACCAATACTTCCGCCTCTGCTGAAGCTCGAACCTAAGTGAACTTCTCCATGAATCTCGAGAAGTGGACTTGCTACCGCTCAAGTTAGGAGAGAAGTTCGTCCTATGTCTAATATAGTTAGACCCCGTTTGGCATTAGCGTTAAAGATTAGCGTTATCGCCTTGAAAAGGCTATTCGACGGTTGCCTTTAGCGTTAGCATTTTCAAAATTAGTCTACAACATTTAAATTTTATCCAAAACGCTAACGCTAATCGAAAATGCTGTTTCCAAATAAGCCCTTGCTCTCAACATAGTTGTGAAGATGAATACTCCCTCCGTCCTAAAACTTTCTTCCCATTTCCTTTTTTTCTCCGTCCTAAAACTACCTTCCCATTAGAAAAAAAAGATGACAAATGACATTAATAGCTTCATGTATTTACACTAATTATCTTCTAACTCTATCTTTTGAATGATTGCAAAAAAAAAATTCAAAAAAACTTTTTTAAGAAGGGTAAAATTTGAAGTCAAAGCCAAAAATTAAAAATGAGGAAAAGTCAAACTGAGAAGAAAGTTTTAGGAGGGAGGGAGTATTACTCATCCTTTATCCTCCGCCTGCACAAATGGTTGCATTAAAACTTAAAAGAGTCAAATGGAAGAAGGATGAAACATGCACAAAATCCGTGTTTTAAGGGCTAAAGACAAAAACAACCTTCGTCACGTCGACAAACGTATCCATGAAGAAACCCCAAAATAGTAAATTCTCACCATCTTCTTCTTCTTCTCTTCTACTACCCAGTGACGAAATTCAGTTTCTTGGGCATTTTTTTTTAACTTCAGTCAGAAGTTCAAGAACTCCGAGGATGTTTCCGGACGAGGGATCGTCGTCCTCCGTGACTTCCTCCTTCCCTCTGCAAGCTTTTCAGATGACGGCGGCGACGCCGCCGGACCCATGGCCGAAGGAGTTGAAATCGGAGGAGAGGGGTCTGTATCTGATCCATCTCTTGCTCACCTGCGCCGGCCACGTCGCCGCCGGCAGCCTGGAAAGCGCCAACGCGGTACTCGACCAGATCTCCGACCTCGCCTCCCCCTGCGGCGACACCATGCAGCGCATCGCGTGTTACTTCGCCGGAGCACTCGCCGACAGGGTGCTCCGGCAACTTCCCGGCGTTTACAGAGCCCTCCGCGCCACCGATCTGGTCTCGCCGGCGGAGTGTTTTCTTGCACGGAAGGTGTTCGACGAATGGTTCCCGTTCTCGAAAGTGTCTTTCCTTGTGGCTAACCAAGCCATATTGGAGGCCATGGAAGGGGAGAAAATGGTCCACATAATAGATTTCAACACGGCTGACCCGGCCCCGTGGCGGGCCATTCTTCGGGACTTCAGTACTAGGCCTGAAGGCCCGCCACATCTCCGCCTGACGGGGGTCCACCCCGTTAGAGATGTGGTCGAACAAACGGGCCGGGTCCTGGTCGATGAGGCAGAAAAACTAGATATCCCTTTCCAGTTCAATTACATAGTTACCAAATTCGAGAATCTAGATTTGGATAGAGTTCGAATCAAGACCGGGGAAGCTTTAGTAATTTCTTCCGTTTTACAATTCCACACCTTACTCGCCCCCCACGAGAACATTATCCCGTCCAACCAAGCCACATTGGGCGAATCGACCGAAAAGGATTCGGAGAATTCGACTTCGTCCGCTTTAATATTCAGCCCGACCAATGAGATCGAACCCTTCCTCAACTACCTCTCCGGCTTATCACCAAAAGTAATGGTGGTCACCGAACAAGAGAATGACCATAACGGACCGAACCTAATGGAGAGGCTATCTGAGTCCCTATACTTCTACGCAACCTTGTTTGACTGCGTAGAGTCTACCCTGCCCAGATCCTCGTTGGATCGGGCAAGGCTCGAGAACAGGGTCTTAGGAGAGGAGATCAAAAACATTATCGCTGAAGAAGGGGTCGAGAGGAAGGAAAGGCACGAGAAGCTCCCCAAGTGGTTTGGGCGGTTCGGGTCCATCGGGTTTTACAATGTGCCTTTGAGTTACTACGCGATGACACGGGGGAAGAGGTTCTTGGAGAGCTTTGGGTGCGACGGGTATAAGATGAAGGAAGAGAACGGGTGTGCGGTTATGTGTTGGCATGATCGCCCTCTCTACTCGGTGTCTGCGTGGAGATGCGGGAGGTGAAGGGTTCCAACGGCTATACAACGTAAGGATTATGCTAGGGTCGCTCCAAGGGTGATCTCATAAATATTTGCAATCTTTTCATTTTGTGTTTGGTGTGTGTTTGAAAATAAAAGCATGAAATCTTCCAAATGTTACATTGCTTTGAAGTTGTGTTTGAAAAATAATGTAAACTTCAATTTTAGCCCTTGGCGTGAAGAGTATGGAATAGGTAAATGAAATTTGGTACTAAAAATTGTCCATGTGACAATTTTAGTATGGTAACACTACATCCATCCATTTGGTACCAAATTAATTCGATAAGACGGTCTATTGATTTGCCAAACATATTGAGTATGTTTTATTAATTTCCATGTTTATTTTATTAATTGGTATCACAATTTAACAGTAATATCACTTGTAATTTTCAATCTAATTTGTATAGGATTGCACCCGTATATTTTATTGATTTTAAATAATTTTTACACTGGTTTGTAGATTTTAAAACTAATTTATAGAATTATTGCTTCCGTCCCAAATAGAATTGTTTGTTTATTATTCATATGATTAAATTTTATTAACTTTTTTCTATTTTGAGTATTCATTTGATAAAATAAAATAATTATATCACAACTAATTTTGAAAATCTTTTGATGTAGTATTTTAATATATTATTTTATTTTTCAAGTCAACACCATTTTTCATATAAAATGATTTAAAAATAATTTAAATCAAACATCCCGAAAAATGCAATATAAATTAGGACGGAGGAAGTATTAATTAGTTTGAGTTAATTAGTTAAGAAATCTAAAAGCACCCTTATACTCTATATAATTTTTACATTGGTTTGTAAAATTGAACTTTATATTTACAATTAATTTTCACAACACAGTGTTATTTAAATACGGAGTATTTACACTTCATATTTTCTTAAAATTGATTATTAAAAAAATGAAATATTTCAATACTTTTAAAAATAATTTTATAATGAGTTTAAATTATTCGTTTAAAAATGGTTGTACTTAGTTGGCAAATTAGCGTATACACTATCTACACTTTCATTTATTTTGTAATAAGAAAAATATGAAATGGGTAGAATCTGATATGACATGATGTGTAAAAAGAAAACTGGTTAAAGAGTGTGTGTGCGCCCCCACACACCCACACACACCCTCTACCCTTATAAGGACATTCTCACATTTGATAACACAACCCATATGGGCTAATTCCACCTCAAGTTTTTTACATTGAAGTGTAGAAAGAAAAGCAGGGCAATGAGAATATTAAAAGATCCAAAATTTTTAGAGTATTAGGGAAAGAGAAAATTTTGATAAATAAAGAGGTAAAAGAATACACAGAATCCCTTCAAAAAAAAGAATGCAGAGAATATTAATTTCATCCGCGCACCCCGTGCCAGATAAATGTCAATAGTGCACAAAGCTCCAAACTTTAAAGGACCCGTCCTGATCAAAGGGCGGGTCGTTGTACAAAGCGTCCTCTCATAGATAGGGCTCAAGGGGGGGGGGGGAGAAACCGGCAGTGCAGCAGAAGTGGTGAATCAAGCCATAGAAGTGGCCATGGATCAGTGAAGAAAACTATATCAGAGTGCATTATCATTGATTGATTGATTAATTGTAGCTTCATTTAGCCTTCGGTTTTCGGCTTCTTACTCAGAGGAGGAAGTACATCTTTAAAGAACCTACAAAAAAGGATTATTATTAGAGAACGTAAATACAGTGTTTGTTGAGATTTATGTATCCTTTCTATATTCCATGGTTGTTTTACTATTATGGTTCATTTTATCTTTTATGAGTCACATTTCATTGTTCTAAAACCGTCTTATATTGTCTAGAGCCAAGGGTCTTTCAGAAACAGTATCGACTGTCCTTCTCGGTTCATATGCATGGGCAAAGTGCCAAAGTTTGCCTAAACCTGCCATACCATACCCCACTTGTGTGACGTTCATATAAAAAATGAACTACTACGTATATCCNTGTTTGTTGAGATTTATGTATCCTTTCTATATTCCATGGTTGTTTTACTATTATGGTTCATTTTATCTTTTATGAGTCACATTTCATTGTTCTAAAACCGTCTTATATTGTCTAGAGCCAAGGGTCTTTCAGAAACAGTATCGACTGTCCTTCTCGGTTCATATGCATGGGCAAAGTGCCAAAGTTTGCCTAAACCTGCCATACCATACCCCACTTGTGTGACGTTCATATAAAAAATGAACTACTACGTATATCCTAACCCCCCCCCCCCAAGGACAGGCTAGAGTGGTAAGAAGCAGACCGGGCCAGCCGGTTCGTGAACTGGTTGACGGACCAGTCTGGTTGGGAGGATTAGACCGTTACAATGGTTCGGTTTCAAAAACTATGGCCCCAACTATGAATAGCGATCACACACGGTTGTAAGGCTTGCAAGACGTCACTAGGTTGTAATTGTTGTGGTTTGTTGTATGAGTTTTATTGGGTAGTTGGGGGCGTAAAACAACACATAAATTTGAGAGTCATATGTTTGGATGAACACGGTAGTCATTAAAAGTTTGAAGATGATAGTTTTGCAGAAGAAGAGTAAAACTTACGCAGACAGTGCTCGCTTATTCTTCTCACTGCAAATGTATGTGCTCAACTCCTCCATACTCAAGCTTTTAAATGCGTCGTCAAGATCAAACTTCAACAATTTACATCTATCCAAATGCGAGGAGGAGGATCCGGTGTAACCCGGCGCACCTTCTAGTTGACCTTTAAGTTTGTTCATCAAAATAAAACCTGCACCCAAGATGGAAAATTTGCAGTGTATATAAGTAACACTCAAAATGAGGATTTTTTTATGTTGAAAAAAAATGACGGATCAAAGAAGACACGAAAAAAGATGACATACTGAGAGCACGGAGAAACTTCAAGCCGAAGTTCTTGGCCATAGGTTTGGAGCCGATGTTCTTCGCACGTTGGAGAATCATCACTTTCAAGCTCATCAAGAAATCCTGGTGATGGATTCCAATTCACGATATCATGGGAGCGGGTCATGTATGAATGAATATTAAGGATTAAGATCAGTTATAGATGGTGAGAGACGACGCTATATGAAACCATTTGTATATTGACTATATTCAGAGATGGAGAACACAAGTATGAACAAGTACTTATAGGGATTAGTGAATCTTGGCCACACACTCATGTGCCTCCCTGTCCCCTAGCTCTAGGGCCTACCTTGACTGGTCATACAAGCATGGGTGGACCTCACATTTAGGTCAAATTAGCCCGGCCATATCATGCGGGTCGCTCACCTCGACTGGTCATACAAGCATTGGTGGTAATGTGCCTAAATAATAATAACAATAAAAGCACGGGCGGGATATATTGGGCTTAGAGCTTGTTCTCTTCAACTTATTCTTATTACTTATTCTTATTGGAATCAGATCAAATAAAAAACAACTTTAAATATAACTCCATTTAATTCAGATCAGAACTTATTCTAGGTGAAGAGAACAAGCCCTAAATCTGTTTATTGATCAAAGTCGGTCCCGCTACAGGCTATTGAAAATGCAGAGAATGCATCAGTCATTTTTTTTCATCAACAACCACAACACAGAAATTTACGCATTCAAAATAGACAATAGAGATAAGAAAGACTAACAAGTTCAGATTCATTCAATGAGCAAAGCCATCTGATATCATCAATATGATCATTGCTCCCTGAACTCAACTTTCCTTCATCCATTCCTCTCTCTGTTTGTTCTTGTGAAACCCTCTCTTTTTCTAGCCCCTTCAGAAGTTTCTGTTCATAATCACAACGCAATTCATATTTAAGAAGATGAACATCTCACGCGTGGAAGAAGAAGTCGCTCTCCACCGCTGGGACTATGGAGTAGTAAAGTTCAAACTTTGTTGTGTAAAAAAGAGAGAGTCATGTTTGATTGATTGAAGAATGTAATTTCACTGAAGAAGAGTGAGAAAAAGATGCATTTCATAAATCTGAATCAAATTGTTATTCATATCTAACAGAACTTACAAGTAAAATCTGTGTAAAAATGTTTTACAAAAATGGTGCAGAATATTATTGAGATTTGAATTGAATACAAACATACATATATTTGTTCTCATCGGCATCTTCATCTCCTCCGCAAGCTTTTCAGATGATGAAGAAATCAACGCAAAGATATGGTAGCAACACAGTGTAGGGTTTGCTTTCAATCCAATTTTGGTTTTCGCTCCGTTTCGGTTTTTGAACAGGATTAATAATTATTTTTTGATTTAATTCTACAAGGGCCCGTTTGGTGAGTTCTGAAAATATGATATAATATGAGTTTTTAAATCTGGAAGAAATGACATGAGTTTTGAAATATGAATGAAAAGTATTTGGAGAAAACATAGTTGATATATATATATATATATATATATATGGTCCAATTCCTGTAAGAATGGACCTTGTGGAGAGAAATGAGAATGTTGCATTTTTGTTCGCTAATGGTGCATTTTAAAAAGCATGTAGTTTGCCATGGTGCATTTTTCTACGCAGGTATTGCATTTTACAAAGTTCAATTAAATTACAAAACTGCCATCGTGTTTTTTAAATTTTTTTCTTATTTTTGAAATTTTTATAACCCTTATATCTCACATTCTAAAGCACCACATGCATTCTCATTTCTCTCCTAAGATCTCATTCTCACCAGACTCAAAAATCTATGTGTGTGTGTGCGCGCACACACACGCCCCTACAGACTTGAATGTCATAGCATGACTCGGTGCACCTACGGTGTTCCTACCCCCTGAACCTCCTCGCCCCCTCCACCCTAGTCTCCCATGGCCCCCTCAAATCACGGAGTTGCTACAATGGTCTGTTTGTAAAATTGATTGTTCCTATCCGCCCTAACCCTTTGGTAAACCCCACACCCTGCACCCCTCTAATTGCAATACTTATAATTTTGGTTAGATATTTAACCACAAAGTAAAAACAAGTGCAATTGGAGGGGATGCAAGGTGTGTTAGGTCAGGTCGGGATCAGGGCCGGCCCTATCATATATGGTGCCATGAGTGATATAAGTATTTGAGGCTCTTTAGTTAACGGTGTGAATAAAAGTTGTATAAAAAATGAGTAGAAACTTCATCTCAATAGCCAAAATTTATCTATATAAATTTTTAATCCTAAATATTAAAGATGTTAACCCTAGGTCTCAATAACACTAGTTTATTTTTTATAAGGATTTACATCTATAACTCTACATATTTCAAAAACAAAAAAAAGAAGATCAAATCACCAAATTCCCAAATCAAATTGAAGTAGTCGATTTTGTATTGAAATATTAAATAATCAATCATAATAATTTTGGGAATCGGGTGAAGAAGTAAGGCGAAAACCTGAAATTGGAAGAATCAAGTGATGCAATAGACTCCTGCGACTCCTCTGTCGTTGCTGCAAGCTTCAACAAGGATTGAAGGAGTGTCAATGAAATAGCTGGAAGCCAAAAATCGTTGCTCTCCTTATGTGACATTCTCCATTCTTTTATTTAGGATTTAGGGTATGTTTGGTTGGAGTTAGATAAAAGTTTTATTAGGTAGGTAATTGGAGGTAAGTAATTGAAGGTAGGTAAAATAAGGTAATGAGTTAAAAAATTGTGTTGGGATGTTTATTAGGTAACGTGAGGTAGGAAAATAATAAAATTACTAAAATATCCTTATGGTTGTTTTTCTTTATTTGTTTAGAATCTGAAATAGAATATAGAAAAAATTAGTATGGACTCAATCTAATAGAATTATAGAAAACGTAGTACTAAAAAAATGCACAATTATAGAGAAAAACATGGGAAAACCCCAGAAAAAAGCACAAAAAAAGGAACAGAAAAAAACCAAAAAAACAGAAAAAAAGATGAAAACTGAAAAAAAGGGAAACAAAAAAAACGAAAACTGAAAAAAAAAGTGAAAGAAAGCTGGAAACTGAAAAAAGTGCAAATTGTAATATGCAGAGGAAATTAAAATCTGGAAATTGAAATTTGAAAAAAGTGAAAATTGAGAGCAGAACGAGAAAAGTGAAAAAAACAATCTGGAAATTGAAAAAAGAGTAAAAATTGATGTGCAAAAAAAATAAGGAGATGGCTATAGAAATTGAAGAGTATAGCAGAACAAAAAAAGTACGGAGTATGTAAAGCTTATCTGAATTGAGCAGCGAAGGAGCAGATGACGATCGAAATTGAAACAAAAAAAATTAACTACGCAGCGGAATTGAAATTTATGGCGGAGCAGAGCAGGTCGAAAAAAAAAGTGAACATTGAACCAGAAGAAGATGACGATCAGAATACCTTGGGCGATAGGAACCGGAAGAAGATGGCGATGGGAAGATGCCGATTGATTTTCGTGCGATTGGGTGAAGGGTAGCGGATAGTTGATTACCTCTAGACCTGGCAACAATGACCCGACCTGTTGATCCGAAACCCGACCTGAAAACACTGGGTTTTGAACAAAGGTTTTGATGACCGAACCCGAAATGACCTGCTAAAAATGGGTCAAACCCGACCGAACCCGAACCCGACCTGACCGACCCGCTAAAGTAAGAATTTTTCAAAATCATACACTTTATTACTCGTTTTTAGTGTATAAATTTATATTTTCAGATAAAATTTTAATGATATTGCATAATTATCTTACTTTTTTCCAAAACTTAAGCATTTTTAAATTCCTTATATTGATTTATATATCTAAAAATTACTTCAGAGTTTAGAATAAAGTATTTTTATAGATTTAATACATTTTTTTTATATTTTGAATTTATTTAATAGAAAATGTAACTGTTAATGTTAATTTAAAAATTTAAAAACCAAAGTCATAACCCGTTGGGTCGACCCGAACCCGATGACACTGGGTCATGAACATACAGTTCTCAACCCGAACCCGAATTGACCCGAACCCGAAATAACCCAAACTTGAAGTGACCGAACCCGAACCCGACCTGACCGACCGATTTGCCAGCTCTAATTACCTCGATGTTTAGCCGAATTGGCCGTCATCCAAAATACATTGTTAAGAGGTAACACTACCTCTCCCTACCTCCCCTTTCTCTCTTTATCTATTTCAATTTTTATTACCAAACAAGGTAGAAAATTTAATCTACCTCTCCCTACCTCCCCTACCTCCAAACAAACATAATGTTAAAGTACGGAGTATGAATTAATAATAAGTACTCTGTATTATGAATAAGGGGCGGTTCCTATCATATTGCCAGTCAATATTATGGAATGACTCGGGATGCTCGGTTCCCTGTTCGTAAAATTGACGATTCTAATCTTCTAATTCTTTGGTAAACTCTCACTCCGCCCCGACTCAAATATACCCTCACCCTCTTCAATTGCACCCTACAAGTTGATTTTGACTTTGAGTCAAATTTTGACTCCAAAGTCAAAATCAACTTGTGGGGTACAATTGAGGGGGGTAGGAGTTTCGTTCGAGTCGGGGCAGGTGGGGGGTTTACCGGGGAATAAATAACATAGAATAATAAATAATTATAAAAATAAATTATATACTTCTTTCGTCTCTATTTTGATTACAATTTTTTCTCCTCTCGATAACTTTTGTTTTTTTACGCGATTTCATTAATTATTTGAAAAAATAAAATATTCTTGTCACTTCTCGTGTTGTAGAACTTTTGACGTAGTTTTTTTAATATGTAAATTTTATTTCTTATTGATATAATAATTTATAAATAAAATGATTTCAAAATGTGAGAAATTTTTCTTCGTAAACTTAGATGCGTAAAATACTATTGAGAGTGTTTATAAAAAAAATGGATGCATAAAATACTATTGAGAGTGTAAAATTAATTTTACACTACCACTTCATACCCTATGCATTGGAGATGTTCTAACACTTTTGAAAAATAGCGAATTAAATAATGCTGCCCAGAAGAGCGGAGTTTATTTCTATTATTCTATACTAGTATTTTAATAAAATAAATTTAAAAAACTTGATATTTTGCCCCATTTCTGAAATGTGGTAAACATTTAGGAATGGATGAAGTATGTAATAATCAAGACTATTTCATACTAATTGTCCTAAAATTAACTTTCCATTATTTTTCACGGTCCCCATGCAACACTTTGACAATAAATATCTCTGTTTATATATAATTATATATTATAAAATTGAATATTTCCAAACTGTATTACAGTATGAATCTATTGAGATTCAAATTATATAAAAATTTGGTTTACTTTTTTTGTAATATGCGATCAAAGTTTAAAAAGATTGACAAAAAAAATCAAAGTGAGAAGTTAATTTTAGAAGAGAGAGCAAATAATTTCTTAGGCGAAATTACCAAATACTTCCTCCGTCCAAAAAAGAACTTCCCGGTTTGACCTGGCACGCAAATTAAGGTAGAGTAAAAATGTGTTTGACTTTCCCAAAATACCCCTTCATTCTCCTTCACCCAGTCAGCCTCCCAACTCCTCCAATCTTCCGTCAACACAACCCAATGGTCACACTCCATCTCCCCCTTCGTCCAAAAAATTGAAAAAGTAGATCTAAAAAATGAAAACACGAATCGGAAACAAAGAGGATGTCGCGATCTATTTAGAGATCTATTTAGATCTAATGGGGAGGAAGCCGGCTCGCCTGAGCAGTGACCCAAACTGGATGGAGAGGATGCAATTAACAAAGAAATAAAGAGAGGGTTGAAAGAGAATTCCGAGTTCCCATTTTGAAAGCTCCGATTTGAGCTTTGGGCCTGGAAACTCAGATTCTAAACCTTGGACAATAGCCAGTGGCTTGAAAATTGCAGGTCTCAAACCCTTCTTCAGATCGAAGACATAGCGACAGTCGTAGCCCCTCAGCCGCATTCCGATGACTTCCCGGAACTCTCCCGCCATGATTCCCGATGATAGGAGGAAGACCACCGGGTTGAGAAAGAGAAGATCGGGACAAGAGAGAAATAAAGAAAATATGAGAGGGTTGAGAGAGAGAGATGCAGATGAAGAAACTAAAGAGAAAGAGAGGTGGAAGAAGACGAGAGAGAAATATGAGTGGCGAGAGGGAGGTTGGTTAAAGGGTTAATTGCTTAGGAGGATAAGGGTAGTAATGTCTTTTTTACATAAATTTTTTACCAAAAAAGAAAATGGGAAGTTCTTTTGTGGACAACCAAATAAGGAAAGTGAGAAGTTCTTTTTTGGACGGAGGGAGTATAACAAAATATTTTGAGTTAGAGTCACAAACAAAATATTCACAAAATCCACAAACTAACCGAATATGTAAAGTAATGGAATGAAATAATGGTCTCAAATAATTAAAAAATAAAAACTAAAGTATATAAATGGTAAGTTTGTGCATTTTGTGAGTGTTTTGTTTGTGACTCTAGCATTACTCAAATATTTTTCCACATATAGTTCATAAGGACTGATTATGGAACATTTTTCAAAAAACTAAGAATCATTTTTGTAATATCTAAAAATTAGAGATTAAATATGAAAACTCATATGTAATCAAGAACTATTTATGAAATTAACACTAACTATGGAAAACCATCTTTTTGTGTTTAATATCTTTTTCTCATTTTGATTGTTGCAATTATCTTTTTTTACTTTGACCATGAGTTATGGTTGAAATATACGGAGTATTAAATTGTGAAAAAAAATTAATATCAATAAGTTCATTTAGATATGCAATTTTGAAATATCATATTTTTATAATTAATGAATATACAAACATAAAGATAATCATAGTCAAAATATTGTATTAGAAATCGTAAAAAGTCAAATAAAAAATATGGGACGAATGGAATATTACGGAATATCAATTAGACTTCATACTACGGAGCATTTTTCGTTGGTAAATGATGTAGATCAATCTCAAATTAATAAAAATAAAAATAAACATCAAAAACAAAATAAAAACTAAAAAAAATCAATATTAGTTCTGGACGATTCTGGTTCTAGTACTTATAATTGAGAACTGAAACCGGAACCTCTCTAATCTTAGAGGTTCGAGACGGTTCGATTTCCGATTCTAGATCCGCTGAATCCCTTAGAGCAACTCCAAAGGAAAACGGTAAATTGAGAAGGTATTTTGCTCATTTACCTTCTCAAAAAGGTAAATATACCTATTTAAAAAGTTTTTTATTCCAATGGAAGAAGGTAAATGGAGAAGGTAAATATATATTTCCCCAAATAAAGATATTTTAAGGAAAGAGAAGAAATTGGTATACCTCTCCAAAATTAAATAGGTAAATATACCTCTCCAAAATTAAGGAAGATATAATACCTTCTCATTTACCTTTCTCATTGGAGTATAAACTTATATGAAGAAAAGATAAATTTGATAATTATTGTTTTTTATACTTTGATTTACCTAATTATTGCGCTCTTACGGGTTCGGAAGCAGAACCATGTCCACTAGACCACCACTTAGTGGGCCGGAACCCAATGGCCCAATATTATTCCCACGTTCCGCTGAACCGGCGATTTAAACCGAAATCCGGAGGCCTTCAGCTGCTTTCACTTCTTCCTTTTTTTGTCCTCGAGCTTTCATCAATGGCGTCTGAGAACAACTCGAAGGCGAACAAAAAGAACAGGCAACGCTATCTTCCCCACAACGTAATTCTTTCTCTGTGTGTATCTATGTATCTATCTATGCATACAAATATTATTGTGTGTGTCTGTGTGTGTGTAACTGCGTGTTTATTTTATCTCTTCAATGAAACAGAAGCCAGTTAAGAAGGGATCTTATCCGTTGCGTCCAGGAGTTCAAGGATTTTACATCACTTGCGACGGCGGGAAGGAACGGGAAGCCTCTCATGAAGCTCTTGATGTTCTTGATTCTGTATGTGGTCAAAATTCAGTTTCAGTTCCTCTTTTGTTTTCTAGGTTTTCTCTGAATCAGGAATCCCAATTGAATAGTCTGGTTTGGGAAATTTCGTTCAGATTACTTTGATTTCTTTTTTTACTCTCTCTATTAGGGTTAGGCATTTTGATTTGTATCAATTTTGCCTGCTTGCTCTATTTGCTTCTTTTGCTTATTAAGACAATGCAGACAAGTACAATGCTTTGATTTTGAAGTTGTTGATAGTTAATAGGAGTTGGGGATTGGTAGAAATTCAAAACGTTTAAGCTAATCTCTGGCTAAAAGCCCAATTGAAGAAGTCAAAAACTAGGCTAGTCCGCGGCGAAATGATCCCACCTATTTTTTACCCGAGACGTGACCCGAAAATATTACGTTTTGAACAAAGATTTTGTTGACTAAACCCGAAGAGGACTGAACCCAGAATGACCTGCCAAAAATGGGTCAAATCCAACTGAGCCCAGCCTGCTAAGGTAAGATTTTTTTCAAAATCATGTACTTTAGTACAAAATATAATGGGATAACAATAATGTTATAATATTATTTTTTTTCTAATTGCTCTTTTTTAGTGTTTAAACTTATCTTTTCAAACGAGTTTTTAAAAATCTTGTATTGTTATCTTTCTTTTTTCAATAAATGCATATATTTAAATTTTTTTATTACTTAGAGTATTATATATATATATATATATATATCTAAAATTAAAAAAAATTTATACAGAGTAATAACTTTAATATAAATATTTTGATTTTTTATTAATTAAGAATGCAAGTGCTAGCATAAATTTCAGTAATCTAAAAATGAATTTTAATAAACCGTTGGATCGAACCCTAGGACAATGAGTCATGGTCACACATTTCCCAATTTTGAGACAGAATTTACTCGAACCTGACCTGACTGATGTGTTTGCCAGTTCTAGGCTGCGCCTTAACAACAAAAGCTTGAAATCTTTTGTGATTCATGTGGTTTGGCTGATTTCTGATTTTCTTATAAATATTCTAGTTTTATGAAGAGCTGCTGCCTGGAACAAAATCAAAAGATGAAGATACAAATGCTCCAAAGCAGTTGTTGAATAAGAAAATTGTGTTCACATATTCTGATTCCTCTAGTAGTGATGAGGAAGATGAAGAAGGAAATGAAGGCAAAGAAAATGGACAAGATCAAGAAGATGCAAACAATAACACCCAAAAGAGTGAAGACCAACAAGAAAAAGTTGAGGGAATTGAAAATGGTGAGCTAACAGAAAGTCACGAAAATGAAACAGATGAAGTTGAGGAACCACCTGCAAAGAAACAATGTGTGGAAACCGTAAAAGCAGAACCGTCGTCTACTTCTGCTTCCAATAAGGTAGAACAATCCGTTGACCGACGAATTGAAGCTGAGCTGGCTGAGTTGGGAGATAAGAGCAAGGTAAACAAAACTGCTACTGAACACAACAAACTGGTTGAGTAACAATTACGTATACCTGAAAATGTAGTTGTTGTTGAGATTTTATTGCTCATCAATGTCATGTCATGCACGACTAGTTGACTATATTATGATGCATTCAAGACTAAAAAAATTGGCCTCAAGAATAATCAGACTCTTTTCGGCATTGGGTATACTAAGATCATGTTTCTTATAACTTATTGTATAATTGCTTTTCTTACAAATCATTACTCTTTTTTGTCCTTTTTTGACAACCAAGGTCTTTCTCATTTAGGTCATGACATAAGTATAAGAAAAGACTATACATGTCCCAAAAAACTTTTCCTCTTACCTTTTTAGGTGCTTTAGTTGTACAGTTCTCATTAGAAGGGTGTAAGTGTCCATTTAATATTAGGGGAATATACTCCTTCTTATGTGTGCCAGCCTGCCAGCCAAGGCTGAAAAACTTTTCCTCCTACCTAAAATTAAGATAAACATTTTCCTGCCTAATTCCTCTTTTTAGTTTTTAAGAAAATGTACTTTTCTTCATTTAAAAAGCATGTAATCCCTTTAGAATAAGTGATCTCAAATGTGGTGTAGCTTCGCTTGGTGGCCCTTAGGCATTCAATTTGTAGATGCTTCTTAGGTGGTCATAGTCAACTTCAACCAGCATTTTACTGCTGACCACTATTTTGTTTTTTTAAAGTTCATAGGAATTATGTATGTGTTGTGCTTTCAAATTAGTTAATTTAAGGGCACTAAGTGTCTTAGGCACTAGGCATTCGTCGGAGGCCCATCCATTTCTGCAACCATTGATGTTTGATTTTTTAGTTTAATGAACTCATAGGCAATCATAAGGTCTTGTTAGAAAATGTGTGGCCTTTTTCTATTCAAATTGAATATATTTTTAGAGATCTTAATATCTTATGACATTATGGTAGGACTTTTAGTATGCTACGACCTATAATGTAATCCAAACTTCCTTGGGGTTTGGAGGATCAAGATGCAGACAACCTTACCCATGTAAAAACAGGCAGGTTGTCTGTGTTAGACCTTTGATGCATTTGTTGCCCAAAACTTCATAGAAAGTAAGAAGCAATGAGAGTTTAGCATGCCATTTTGTTTTAGTCCTTTATTTACCCGATGTTGAAGTTAAAGATGACACTTTTAGATCCACCGGGAATGCTACTTACTGTTGAAAATTTTATTTTCTCAGTTTTACATGGCATTTTATTAACTTGCAAACAGAGACGTTTTAGCTACCTTGATTCGGGTTGCAATGGTGTTGTATTTGTCCAAATGCGAGTTAGAGATGGAGATCCAAGTCCAAGGGAAATTGTCCATCATATGGTATCCTCTCTTGCCTCAACAAAGAAGCATGTTTCAAGGTTACTTTCTCAATTTGGATATTAAAGCAGAAGTTAGGGAGTTTTTGGTAATTTCTAATGTAATGTGATCAAATACATGGGTAATGTAGATTTGCACTATATTTGACGGCATTACATTAAAGCTTATATCAAATGTTGGTCTAGTACTTTGACCTATATTGCTTAATGCAAAAAATTGATGTGGTTTTGAAAAGGTTCATGTTGAGACTATTGCCGATTGAAGCTGCATGTTACACATCAGATGAGGAAATCAAGAAAGCCATCAAACCTCTCATTGAAAAATACTTCCCATCTGAAACTCAGAATCCACTTAAGGTAGTCCTCATATTTTACACTAAATATTTTATTTCAGAGAACTTTTTGAGTTTTTTGCCAATGGAATGAATATTGGGGACGTGCTGAGGGTTTATTGGGTGAAATGGTTGATTGAAGCTACTAAGGGTGTGTTTGGTTGGGGTCATTGGTTAATTTCCAAAAGAAAAAATGATTAAAGTCAAATGCTGCTTATTCCATGTATTTGGTGATTTGCATGTGAAGGATATTAGAAGGATTTATTACTTCCAAATGGAGTCTTCTTCTCATTCTGCTAACGGAAAATTGAGTTTACAGAAGTTTGTGTTTGATTAGTGTTATGTCTTATTAACGCAATATTTAAAGTGGACATGTGCAGTTGTGCACACTAACTCTATAATGAGTAACTAAAATGAATCTTTATTCACAGTTTGCAGTGCTTTACGAAGCCCGTGCTAATTCTGGAATCAACAGATCAAAAATTATTGACACAGTTGCCAAATCTGTCCCTCAACCTCACAAAGTTGATCTCACCAACCCAGATTTGCACATTGTTGTTCAAATTGTGAAGGTAAACTGGTCTATTCATTTGAGGGGTTTCTTTACACGTAATACATTTATATCAAAGTAGATCCACCCACCCTCCCATCCACACAAAGTCGCAATCATGCTATCTACACTTTAGATCCCCCCCCCCCCACACACACACACATGAAGAAAAAGAAGAAGAGAGTAAATCTGTGAAGTTAAATTGGGTCTAGTTGCTAGAGTCAGTCTATGTGCTTCTTGCAATCCAAATGCCGACAAAAGTCTCTTATGGTTCGGTTTATCTTGCAGACGGTTTGCTTGATTGGGGTGGTTGAGAAATACAAGGAATTTGCCAAGTACAATATAAGACAGTTGACATCTTCCAAGTGAGAAAACCTATGAAGAGAGGCATGAGCAGCTTAACACACTTCTGCTGTTTTGCAAATGTTTTGTCAAAGGTTCTTAATGTTTGGAATACTTTAGTTTCTCTATCCTCTTGTACCTTGTTAAAAACATACTCCCTAATTTATTTTTCAAGGTTAGTTTTAATGGAGTTTTCTTAATAATTGAATATTGTTTTTTATATTTCCTCTTTCCCATAATATAATAATTTTACTATTTTCATTTGGGTATTAAAATTTTCTAACGCTTTCTTTTGAATTCTAAAGTTTTATTATTTCTTTCCACTATGCAAATTGTAATTACATACTTTGTAAAATCTATTTTATTAAAACTTTTGTTGATCTCAATTTAGAAGAAAACTATAGGATGGCAGCAGAGCATTGGCATCTTGGCCTCACTAGAAGTTCACTTGAGTTCCTTTTATAGAGCTCGATTCGTTTGATAAATGTGCTCATCTGGCATCAAAGACAATGTTTAGTTTTAACGTTTTGAGAATGTTACCAAACGAGAACAAGAATAGTCAGTTTTTGTGTTTTCAAATTTAATTTGCACCATTAGAAAAATTCATAATGCCAAAAGACTAATTGAAATTTTTTCTTAAAGAATGACTCATTGGAGCTAGAGCACTAGTTTTGGATATGGGAAAGTAACACACATGGAGAAAGCTAGAGACCAAGGGAAGTACACATATGAAACCTTTTTTATTTTAAAATGCATTAAGGGCTTGTTCACTTATCTGGTTGATTCTGATATGATTCGATTAAGTTATGATGGGATCTGATTGTAGTTATAAATAAAGTTATTTCAGATTTCACATTAATTCTAATAAGAATAAATAATACCAGAGTAATTCGTAAGTAAAAAGAATAACTTGAAGCGAACAAGCTCTAAGTACGCATTTTAGGCTAAATTTCAATTATGATCCACAATACATTCTGTGTAAAAAGAATGAAGATCAACAAATGACTAAATCTCAATTATGATCCACAATAATATCTCAAGCCCAATGTGTGCCCATATAAAATACAAAAACCACAAAAGTTTAATCTGATTGGAAGAAGAAAACAATGGTAGTTTATGCTACACAGTTTGAAAGTGATTTATTGTAAACCATAGTTGTCCAAGCAAGCAAAGGCACCCATGATTTATCCTCCCCCTAATCATTGTTACCAAGAAAGTTTATCATGAAAATCTTTTCCAAACAGGGGCTTAAGATTTTGAGATCTCCATTGTTGTCTTGTATAGCTTCTCCACCATCCTTCTGTACTCTGCAGAAGTAGCAGACCCCAACTGCTCAGAAAATGATAAATACAAGCAAAACCCAGACTGTGTTCTCCATTGGTTGTAAACAATAAAAGCCAAATGATTCTTTATAGTACCTTCTTGATTGCCCCATAGTGCTGCTGCTTGAGAGTTTAGAGGAGAGCTTATGTTTGGTTCTGAGTCATATGTTCAAAATAAAAAAACGCAAGGAATTAAAACTCAGGTTAAGCCATTATTGTTTCCACAAACTACAATACAGATCTACTATTTAAAAAGGCATATATGGGCGAATGATTGATTTCATTAGGAAAGTATGAACAAGTGTGAAAAATTTACCTCCAAGCAAACTCTGGATTGAAAGTAGTATTGTCCTAACATCATATGCAGAAGACCATTTGTCCTGTATAAAAATTTCATTTTTGTAACAACACTGCTCCGCCATCATAAATAATGTGGAATGGTATGAAACAAAGAAGATGAGTTGGAACCTGAAGAATGTCCAAACATATGTTCCCATGAACATCCACATTCGGATGAAAACATGCAGTCTCAAATTTCACAGTTGGGGGCTTGAATGGATACTCATTCGGAAAGGCCAAAGACAGCTTGTATTCGGTTCCTTCAAAAACCGTATCTTTGCTACCCGCAATCGTCCCCTTCCAGCACAATATGTTGTCTTCTTCAGGGAATGCTGATATTCCACTGTCACCACTCATCTGTAAGTCCTAAGTCAGTTTCTAAGTAACCCAAATACACACACACACACACACAGAGCTGGCATTTTGGGTAAAGTTTTGTTTTCTAGGTTTTTAGATGTTTGGGGAAAATTTCTGGAATAAGACACGTACTAGTTTGGTTCAGTTTGGGTTGCGATTTGGAATAAATCTTTACTGATTCAACACTGAATTACATGTGCTTCGGTTAGGTCAAACCGTACCAAAATGCCAACTCTACACACACAGGGAATACAGATCAAAGATTCAAGATGTGCTCACCATTAGAGACATCAGTTCAGATTGCAACCTGTCGATAGACAAAATCACTTCATTCAGATCTAAAAGGAAGAAATGTTCATATCCACTCAAATGGAGGTACAGATTAGGTCATGAAAAAATCTAAATGTGTAGTATACAACCCTAGCACGTATTAGGTATAGATCTCGATCCTTATTCGTCAAGATTATGCTACTCAATTTAAATCATTCCAAATAAATGTCTCGTCAATCATTTGGAAATGTTTTTCCCCCAAAAATACCTATCCAAACAGATAATTCCACCATTATTACACAAATTACAGAGATGAAAAGAAAAATCATTTGGAAAAACTAGGGATTCATGGAATTTAAACATTAACACAGAGCTCATAGAAGAAACTCGAGATCATCATTCATACCCATCCTGAAATTCGAATCGAGTAAAAGAACAGGAAACATAAATCCGAACTAATTAGATCTGATTCAAGACGATTAAGGGGGAGAGGATTGACCTTTTGATAACGGAATGAGTATCGACGGTCTTTGCTGGGTTTGCCGGCTTCTTAGGCGACGGCACCGCCGTGAGAGTGTTGGGGTTTGCATTCGCCGCCGCCATAGCTCCAAGTTCTTGATATTCTGAACTCGTTGCCCCTCCCGGCGATGAATCGGAGTAGAAACAGAGATGAAATTGTCTCTTCCGGCAAAGATTCAGAGGGGATTATCGGCCGAGAAAAGTCGGGTTTGGGGTTTCTGATGATAAAAGTATGAAATTTATAGGCAGATTCAAATTAAAGCAATTACGGAGTATAAAAAGGGGAAAAAAATTATGGATGGCAACGGCTAGTTCTACATGCCCTTTTTGCCCTTCTACTCCGTATTTCATGTACTCAAAGTTTTCAAAATGGTCGGTATGATAAATGATTATTTTCCCATTTGACACCACAAATATTAATAAAATGTAGAAAAATGGAAATGGTTATTGCTAAATTCACCCCTCATTTGAATATATTCATCCCATTTATATTAAAAAGAAGAAAAAATTATCCAAAATAATCTATATCTAATCTTTCAAAAATAATCTCACCTTTCACTGTGATGCATAATAATCCCAAGTTTTTTTAAATTTGCAAGTTTTAGATCGATGTTAAGTTGCTAACGACGGGTTAACGGAAACGGCCTGTTTTGCGCAACAAAATAAAAATTGGAATTATTTTTTTATATATTTTCATTTTTAAGTTTTTTTTTTTGAAATTTTCATTTAAACTTTTAAAATTACTTTCTACCTCCATCATTTCTTTTTTTAAAGATTAGTACTCCCTCCGTCCCGCTATATTCGTCCACTTTTTACTTTTGGAACTGTTCATCTAAGCACTTTGACTCGTCAAATTCTCTCAATGTGTAAGCCTAAATATAGTCATGCGTGATCTTGTTTGATTTGTCTTAACATATAGATTATTAATATATATAATTTCTATAATTTTTTAATATACAAATTACAAGATAAAATGGATTAAAGAAGTGTATTGGATGGTGTGTAAAAATGAAAGTGGACAAATATAGTGGGACGGAGGAAGTATTACTTTAAAAAAAATTGAAATAATCCATAATAGATATAAAAACTAACGAAAATGAGAAAGGTAACTAAAACGATACAAAATTAATAAAATAAATAAGGTAATCAATAGGCTAACTTGAAAGTGGTAAGAGCATCTCCAACCATGCTTGTTATATAAATTTGCTATTTTTACATTATAGCAAGTGAATAGTGATATAACAAGCACTTTTTTGTTTTATTCTCCAACCATAATTTACTATTTTATTTTTTAAGTATTGGCTTGCTAAAATTTGAGGGGTTTGTCATATTTAACAAGCCAAAGTCATTTTTTTAGCAAACTTGCTAAAATAAAGCACACCCCTTGGAGAAGAACAAAAGTGTTTAGCTAGCTATATTAAAACTTTTAGCAACTTAAAATGCTATGGTTGGAGATGTTCTAAGAAATAAAATAAAAATATACAAAGTGGCGCGTTTTAATATTTTACGCATTTTACAAAGTATTAACGTATCACTTCTTATTTTTTACAAAAAATTTATCTAGAACAATTCCACCTTTATCGGACAGATGTTCTTTTAAAAAATAAGTAGTACATGAACAATCTGTATATAGTGTGTAAAATATAAAAACCCACCACTACGTATATATTTATTTTATTCCTTAGCAGTTTCAGTCTAGTTTCTATTGATTACATTATTTATTTCATTAGTTTTGTATTGCTTTAGTTACTTTTCTCATTCCATTATTCTTTATATCTATTTTCATATTTAAAAAAAAAAGAAAATGAAATGGAGGTAGAAAGTAATTTTAAAATTTTAAATGAAAATTTCAAAAAAAATTAAAAACAAAAATTCATCAAAAATAATCTCAATTTTAATTTTATTGCGCAAAACAAGCATTTCCGTTAACTCGTCATTAGAAACTTAACGGCGACCCAAAACTCACAAATTTTAATAAAGTTGGAATTATTATGCATCATAATGAGAGGTGAGATTATTTTTGAAAGACCAAGTAAAATTGGGATTATTTTGAATAATTTTTCCTAAAAAGAAAAGTTTCCCCTTAATATGTATTCTTTTCAAATGTGGAAATAAAAGATTAGAACTGAAGAAAAAATAAAATGATTTTCTTTGGGACAGATAGAGCATAAATATGTTTTTTTCAACTTATTTTTATTTTTCTTCTTTTTTAAAATCAAACATGATTAAAATCGCTCCATCATTCTAACTTTATCATATTCCCCTCAATGGATGATGAAGGAATATTAATAGGATGTTCGGGAATGATTAATTTATAGGTAATCTTTACAAAAGCAGAAACACCATATATCTGCTTTTCCGAATTAAGATTCTGCATAAAAATGATAATGGAAAAAAAGTAGAAATCAACA